TGATCGCGCAAGTTGGGCCACCTAATTTCACAAGTTTAAATGGTAAATATGCAAATACAACATACTATAAATCAAATGAGTTTTCATTCGACATAATTTCACCTGACATTTACCAACATAACCGGCACCAAGACAGCAGATCTTTTTTACTTGAGTTGTCATTTGTATTGAATAAAATTTTAGTCGATTTCAATGTCTCTAGATGATCTTATATTTCGATTAGCATTACCAATTATGAGCATATACCGTGACATTGGAATTCATCCAATCAGGATTACGGAAGTTTGAATTAAATTGCACCTATCAGTGATCAACCTAATTTTTTATAATATGATTTTCATAAATTACACAAATCAACGATCAACGAAATCACATTTGTAGTCACAACACATAACGTTTTTTAAATAAATACTTAGCAGAAACTAGAATTTTTGCCATTTATGATTATTATATAATAGTTATATAACTATTATATAATAAAAATATGATAAAAATATTTTAATAAAAAAATGAATAAATATTATTGTTGCCTCCCGTTACATGACATATTTGTAACGGGTCATGTGCAATGATTATCATTGATAATCATTGCTTTTTTTTTTTTTTTTTTTCTAGTGCGTATATGTTTTGCTAACCAAACACTTTTTTTTCAGGTAACTAGGCATCATTATTGGAGTTGTCGTCTTTGGAGTCATCGTCTTTGGAGTCATCGTTTGTGGAGTCGTTGCTACTGGAGCTAGTCTTTGCTGGTGTGGTTCTGTTGTCAATTTCGGTAGGCTTTGTGGTGCATCATTGATGGCATTTCGCCTGTGTAAATTTATAGGTTTTGTTTTTCTAGTACGTGTGTTTTATTAACCACCCTCTTTTTTTCAGGCAACTAGGTGTCATTACTGGAGTCATCGTTTGTGGAGTCTTCGTCGCTGGAGCTAGTCTTTGTATATGTTTTACTAACCAAACTCTTTTTTCAGGTAACTAGGCATTGTTATTAAAGTCATCGTTTGTGGAGTCTTTGTCGCTGGAGCTAGTCTTCGTTGGTGTTGTGCCGTCGTTGATTTCGGTGGATTTTGTGGTGCATCGTTATGTTGTGCCGTCGTTGATTTCGGTGGATTTTGTGTTGCATCGTTACTGGCATTTTACTGTGGTGTCGATTTCGGTGTCTTCTCCGAGTTCCCGCTCTTGTTAGTTCGCCATTTTTGGTGGATTGAGTTATCACTTTCATTTTTCTAGAGTTTCACCGTCGGTTTCGTGTACGTGTTTTACCAACTATTTTTTTTTTTTTTAGGAGTTGTTGTTCTTAAAGTTAAGGTTACTGTCACTTTATCTTTGTGGTGCTGTTGATTTCATAGCATGCCAATTTCAGTGTTTGGAGCTTTTCGGTTTCGCTTATGTAGGTTCATGCTTTCAGTGGATTTTGTGGCGTCTCTTTACATGACGATTTTGATGGTTAGAGTAGGGTGAGATTAGTTAATAGTTAGGGTTAGTTAGTTAGTGGTTAGGGTTAGAGTTAGGGTTAGTTAGTTAGTGGTTAGGGTTAGTTAGCAGTTAGGTTAGTAGGGTTAGTTAGCGGTTAGGGTTAGTAGGGTTAGTATTAGTATTAGTAGAATAAATACAGATAATAAAAATTCATATTTTAAATATACTTACGTTTTGATTGGCCGATTATGTATCATGTGACCCGTGACAAAAATGTCATGTAACGGGTAGCAACAAATAAATTTATCCTTATAATTATATAACGTGTGATTATAGCATTAGAGAAGTTTTAATATTATTTAACATGTTTAATTATAAATTCTTAAAATGCAATAAAACCTCTATTACTATTTGAAAAAGATAACATGTTGAATATATAATACAGTAATTTACATATTGTAAAAGTATATAAAGAAAAAAAGTTATTTTATTAATTACAAATTGAAAAAAAAAAGTATTATAATTTATATCAGTTCCAATTACTTTATTATAAAAGTATCAAATCAATTGTAATATGATATTACAGTATAGACCTAGTAAACCCGGTAAATTCTAGCATAATAATACTTTGTATGGCAAGTTACAGTGATCTATTCCGTTAACGTTAATAAAATTTACTACGTATGTTAAATAATTTTTATACGTAGACAGATTTTGAATCCAATCTCACCATATTGAGATATTATTCTTCGCTATATCGAGAATTGAGATTACTATACGTATAAACAAACAATCAATAAAAGCACGTTTTGGATTGGATTGATTGTCTTACAACCATATATAAGAATTTTGTTTATTTTAAACTTGAAACTAATTAAATTCGTACGACCATTTATCTTGTTACAACATTAATCAATATACCGTCACATTATCCAGAGCAAGCATTTGAATTCTTTTTCTGTACCGAAATTCATATTTAACAAAAATTAAGGTTCGCAGAATCATGAGGACGACGTAAATAAGCTTAATTTCTTGCACAATTTGTTTGTAACTCAAGTCAAAAAAAATTTACAATTGTCAAAGATAACTTTAAAATGTTAAAAAGACTTTACCACCTTTTTGTTTTTTTTTTAAAAGAAAGTATTGTAAATCGTAAGTACAGAAGTAGGAAGATAATTTTAACTTTAATAAACGCATATAACGGTTTAGCTCGGAAAATTTTTAAATTGATAATCGTCAATGAAATGTGTTCTATTTTCGAAAGTTCTTGTGAGAAAATCAGCAATAAATACAATAAACACAAGGAACAATAAAATGAAGGTGGGTTGACCGTTCAAATATTTATTTTTATATAAATATAAAAATTATCAAATGATTGGTAATACAGTAATATGAAAAAGTTTCATCCTAGGGGTGATTATTACATGTATGCCGAAACTGGCAACTAGCATCATAAAGATAAGCAGCTAACCACAAAAGGGTTCTTCATCGATATATTTGATGTTCGGTAATTTCCTTCTTTTGGATGTGAAACGTCGAACATGTCTTTCATGACCTGTTCCCAATTGTGTCAGAGAAAATAATATATTAAGTACGTACTTATCTGTCGCTCATGTATTTTCTTAATTTTTCAAGAAAATTAAAAATTCCCGTTCTAAAATAAGACGGCTTCAATATTTTTTGATGCTGTTCTTGATTTTCTTTCATTAATGATTAAATTTATGGCTCTTTGGTTAAAAATTAAGGACTTCATAGAAAGACTTGTGATTTAGCCAAATTGACGGCGCTGGCCCGCCATTTCAATACTATCATTTTCCATTATATACGAAAATCATAAAACCATTCATCTTTTTCTTTTGCCGAAAAAAAAAAACCCCCCATTTTTTTTTTTTTTTATTATTCCACAAACGAAATCCTTCAAGTAATTTAACGCTTGTAATATATCCATTTTTTTAAAAAAATTTTTCTCAAAAAATGTTATCACCAAATATGTTTATTCTCATCGGTAGTGCTGGCGTGGTGTTAGCTACCTTGAGTGCTCTCTACGTTATCTATAAAGCTCTTGAAAATTTCTCTCCGGTAATGCACATTACATGTTTTATTGGTACCCTGATTATTGATACTCTTTGCATTCTCGACCTCCTGCTAGAACTAGGAATTTTAGAATTTAGTGAAAAATATGCTACAATCTATTTTCTGTTCACCTCCTTAACAGCGGTTCTCTCTTGTTATGTCCTTTTACATGTTGGCACTAATTTCTATCAAGAATATAATTTTATCAAGACTTTTCTGATATTTGCTCCAATCGCAGTTACTGTTGGTGTTTTTGGAGTTTCTGTTTATACTACCATAATATTCGTTATGAATTATAATCCTGATATGCCTAGTATGTCCACTGATATAGATTTATCTCTTGAAAAACTCACTCTACTTCTGAATCTCTTGGCTGCTGCGTTAACTCTTGTTTATGTAATTTGTCCATTATTCACCATTCGTCGTCAAACAAAACTTCGTCCAGAACAAACTGCCATATCAATAATACATTTATTGACTGTCTTAATATTCTTTGTGGCTCATTTCGCTGTCTATTGCACGATAATTCTCGGTAATCCATTCGTCGATATGGGTTTTCAATCAATTCACAATATTATTTTATTATTAATCTTTCCTGGATGTTTAATAACACCACCTAGAAAATTAGTAAAAATTGTAAAACGAAGAATGTTGGGGGTAGAAGAATTGTTAATTGGTGGTGAATTTAGGCCAGATATGATGAGGGATGGTTTTGATCAAACAAAGGGGCCCTTAATCGAACATATATTACCAGCACATCTTTCAAATTCACCTAATTCACAAATAAAAAATATGAGGATACCACAAGAATATCGTGTGATGAATTCTGCTTCTCCAAAGCTTATTGATATTCAAATAGGTTCAACTAACGGATATTAATTAATGTATACTCAGAGTAATGAATATTATACTTTGGTACTCTTATAAGGTTCTTACTCACGGTTATAATCTTTAAAAATTCTCCAAAATTAGAAAAAAGAACAATTGATCAATCTTTCTTCTGTAATAATAATAAATAAGGGTTTATTGGGTTTCATAGAGTGAACTACTGTATACGGTTACTTAATTTTTTATTTTTTTTTATTTTTCTTTTTTGCTAACTTTAATTACTCCTTTATTATCCCTTTATTTCTTCCTTTTCTAACAAAGTGTTATCTCACAAACATCCGAAATTGTATTGAACTTAAAAATTTTAAACCTGTTTATTGTTTTTTTTTTTTTTCTTTTCTTTTTTTTTTAAAAAAAAAAAGTTTCATAATTAATTATTGAAACAATCTGAATCAAAAAGAATAAAAAGTATTTGTAATGTTAATAGCTTAGTTTAGTCTAGCCTGCCTTAATAATTTAGAACACAAGTTGATATATACTGTATTCTAATTATTGATATTTCTATTATTTTGAGAATTTCTTTATTAAAAATCGAACCTCCTTTATGGTTCACAATATGATACCTGATACGTAAAAAATTCTACTGCAACTAAAATCACATGTGCTATTTGATTCTCCTATAAAGTTATCGAAACAAAAGCTAAAACTGTTGAAACATTTTTTTTTTTTGTTAAATTCCTTAACTTACAGTATTGAAACTTGCATTTTTTTATTGCAAATACTGATTAAGGCTAGTGCTCCGAAAGGGTAAGCTTAGTAATTGGACCCGTCTAAAAAAAATGCCACCCGGGTCACCCGACAGGTGGATCATGAGCCACTCGGGTAGTATCCACCATCGAGTGATCCAGCTAACAATGTATTCTGAATGTGTCGACATTAAAATAATAAAATTTATCTGCAGAATATGTAATACGTATAAAATATATGCTGTATATCGGAATGGAATCTTGCTAGATTTAGAATCAAACGTAAATTGATTCTAAATACACTCAAGTTGAAATGAAATTTTAATTTCACTCATAATTGTCAAAAAAAAATTTAGAACTAACTTAATACTGAATCCATTTAGCCCATATTCATTAAATTAAAAGCCGTTGGAATTCGCAATACAATGTATGCATATATTCTACGTAGTCACAATTTCTAGCTATATATACTAATCATTACAATGCTTACATAAATATTATATTATCCGTTCGACGTACAACATATATATCGATCGTACCGAAATCAAAAACTTAACCGAATCAGTCAAAGAATCATTCAGAATTTATAATAATAGCTGATACTTACCGTTACTATAGGTTAACCCGTGATGACTCCTGGATAACCCGTGGGTTGACCACCGGAAAAACTCAACCCGGGTCACGGTGACCCGGGTGATACTCACCGAGTTATATTTTATGTATCCACGGATATTTGGAATTACTATTTGAAAATTTTCAAAATATTTAACTATAAATAACTTTTTGATTCACTGGTCCGTTTTGGGTGATTTTACCATCAAAATGACCACATCAATAAGACGATTCTAGCGAGCCCAAAATCGGTAAAATCCAATCATGGGATCTCGAGATCATTAGTCACTTCGGGTGTTTTAGGATTGATTAAACTAATCCTAAAACATCCGTAAGTGACACAAATCCTTAACGATCTCGAGATCCCATGACTGGTATTTTACCGAATTTGGGCTCGCTAGAATCGTCTTATTGATGTGGTCATTTTGATGGTAAAATCATCCAAAGCGAACCAGTGAATCAAAAAGTTATTTATAGTTAAATATATATTTTGGAATTTTTAAATAGTAATTCCAAATATCTGCGGATAAGATATCTATAAGTGTACTTATAAGATTATTACATAAATTTAAGCGGCGTTCAATAATTTATAATATAGCATGTCTCGGGTGTGGGTTTTTATTAACCCTTTAGGAGCTAATTAAGGAAATTTTAGACGGCCGGAAATTTTCGAATCTCTTTGGTATGAGTCACTAACGCTGTACTAATAACTATATCAGATATCTGATATAGTAAATTTTTTAATTTACGTAACTTACGAACTTAAATCTATATTTACAATAACAACCCTGGCCAAGTTAATTTAGCTATATTAAAGCTACCTTAGGGATGGTAAAAAACGGTTCAAACAGTTTTTTAACTATTTTTTTATTGGTTTAACCCTTTTTTAAACCATCGAAGTCTGAGATAAAATTTTGTTGAAGCAGAAAAATATTGTTTCTTATTAATTAATTTTCAGCTGAGAATTTTTTGTTTAAAAAGACGGTGCTATATAATTTTCGAATTTATTAGATATTACGTAAAAAAATAAAATAAAAAAATCAATATGTATAATCGCTTTTATTTCTTTAATTTTTATCAAAGCTATCATCGCCTATCACTATCGGTACAACCTTTCATTCTATATTAGTTTTACATTATTGAAAGTCCAAGGTTTACAATATTGTCACTATGTAAACCCATTGAATAAATTTTTTTGCGAATGAATTATTTGAAGAACCAGAATCCTATTTTCTGTTTTTTTGAGTTTTAATAGATCTTATATATTTCTTGGAAGTCTTTTCATTTAATAAATGACCTTTAATTGTTAACTAGATCAATACAGTCTTTGCAATAATTACATTTTTGGCGAAATGTTACACGGCCTAAGTTATACTGTCATCTTGATATAAATTTTTTTTTTTTTTTTTTTAATATTTAAGGTGAGACCTTGCTCTTATCTTTATTAAACTTAATGAAAACTTTTTACATAATTGAAAAAGGTTTTATATTTTAAGCCTAGTGCTAAAAATAAGAACTCAGATATATAACTAAGAGAACCTAGAATCTAAATATACCTAGTGACTTATCTGTGGCCTAAACCTACCAGAGTGGCCAAAGCTCACCTAGATTTGAGCTAGATTGAAGGGTGTATACGATAATTAATCCAGTTTGAATACCAAGATGATACTTTTAAAGAAGATGTTTGAAGAGTAGTAAAAGTGTCAGATGTGAAAAGTGTGTTGTGTAAGGATTCAGGTGTAGATAATAATTGAAGTTGCATTAGTTGGAGTTGGGGTCCTGAGCTACAATAAGAAATTCAGATATATGAATAAAGTTGTTTGTTGATATGAAGAAGAAGTTGTATAGAAATTGAGGTAGCTAATTGGTTAGATGTAGTAAATTCATATATTGTATATATAATATCAAAAGAGATGAGACCAGAAAGTGTGGAAAAGATAAAGAGCTTGTCAGAAGAGTCATATATTAAAAGGCTATCAAGGTTGATGATTTGGTTGTGTAGCTGATTAACTTCAGATAAAGAGATTTGAAGTTTATAGACAGATAAAATTTGTTGTAAAGAGTCTTGAAGAAGTGTATATAAGAGGTTAGGAGAGAGGCATATGGCCCAGTACAGTATAGTACTTGTTTGTTGACATATATAACAGGTATTAGAGTAAAGAGAGTTTCTTTTATGTAGAATATAAGATACAGGAAGTTCATTAGTAAGAAGTTTAACTCTAAATATTTTAAGAGTAGAGGACTGGAAGCTATAGATAAAGTTAGAAACTTTTTGATTGTTGTTTAGATAAAGCCAAGTTGTATTTCAATTTAGATACTAAGAAATCTGTATTTATGGTTGAACCTAGTTTTAAGATAACCAGAAAGCAAAGGTATTTGCATGACATATAGTTCAAATGCTATGATGAATAGGGAGCTTAAAAGAGTAGCCTTCAAGAAATAAAGTATATATGGAGTTGTAGATATTGTAAGAATTAAATATAAGAAATAGTAAATGAAGATAATTACAAGCTAGCTTATCAGCCTTGTTATTAAGTATATTATTCTGATATGTTTTTACTTTATAAAAGGTGATATTTAAGTTATAAGGTTTAATAAAGTTAAGAAGTATATTCTATATAGGCTAGTATAGTATGTTGAAAGAATTAAAACTAGCAGGTTGCTAGGTTAGACTATTGTAATTAGATATAACTGATTGAGAGTCTGTAAAGATTTGAATATTGCAGTTCCTAGGGGCAATGCATATTGCAAACAGGATTGTAAGCAATTTAGCTTTAAAGAACATAGCTATAAAGAGATTTGTGTATAAAATATATGAAGAATATTGTTGTTATCCACTTGTAGCCAACTGATTCCTATAGAGTATTAGAGACTTTCAGAGTTAACAATAGATCTATCTGTATAAAATGTAAGATTAGTAGAATGGTAGTTGAGATTTGCAAGCTGTTAAAGAGTGTTAGAAGCAGTGTTATTTATCACCTGATTTTTTTTATCAGAGACTTACCCCCCTCTAGTTTTTAATATATAAATTATCAGATCTCATTTATAAAATTCTAATTTTTTTAACTTTCTCTCTTAGAAAATTACCTGATAATTGTCAGCTCTCTTAAGAATATAGAAGGAATTTGTGAGGTTTGTATAAGAAGGTCTGAAGGTGCAGGAATTAAAAGTATCTTGAAGTTGAATTGAATATATAAGGTCAAGAGGGTTTAAATTAAAATTAACTAACTTGTTAAAATAAAGTCTGTCAAGAAATTTAATAGATGATTCGCCACTCAACAGAAGCATGATCTTAGTAAAATGTAACTCAGATTACTATATAAATTTACTATAGTGTGAATGTGATGATCATTCAAGATAAACTTTTTTTTATACTAAGGTAATTATCTTTCTTGCTTAAGAGACTTTTGTAAAGCTTGTCAAGATACATCTAATAGTGGTTAAAGCGTCAAAATTGGCCTGGTGAGTGCCAAGATATCTTTAAAAAACAGTTCTTTTACTATATAAACTTCTTTACAAACAATAGTATTGTTTGCAAAGAAGTTTACA